GGGAAAGAGAGAGAGAGAGAGAGAAAGAGAGAGAAATAATAGTAAAAATTTAGCAGGTTTCAACTTTCAGAGCATTTTTAAAAATTGTTCATTTCATGAAAAAATAATCTATAAGGTATCCCCAATCCTTTCTATTTAAAGAACATTTCAGTACACCCCCCCCCCCCAAATGCTAAAAGGGTTCAGTACAAGGAATTTTAATATTCTATTCCCAGTTGTACAAATATATCAATTAATGAGGCACATACTTGTGTGAAGGGTATAACAAGGACAGTGGTCAGAGAAAACCAGATCCAATTTCATTAGAGGTGGTAGTGAGACTGGAAACACTTTGTCCAACATCACAACCTATGAATCATACCTATATTTGGTATAATCCTATTACAATAAGGTCATCTGGAGGCTAAAGATGTAGTGGGGTTTATGAAGACAAGACCTATTCCCAGAGTCCTCACCTACATCCTGAACTTGAGAGTAAGTTTTCAAGGGACTTTCTACTAATTGTTTCTTGAACACAACCACAAATCTCAAAATGGTTAGGAATTCTATGTTATCATGGATCTTTGCATACAGTGGCTTTTATTTATGTGTGACTGAATATGAATAGAACCTTTATACAATTTCCAATGCAGAAAGATCCAGGATAGAGATGCTGACTGTAGAGTAGTCTTAACATGAGTTGCTGAATGTATGCTCAGGTTTTAACAAAGCAGTAGTTTAATGCTAAATTAAGAATGCAGATTGGAAAAAAAACAAGTCAAATAGAATGCACCCCTTACATTTTCACTAATATAATTTTACATATGAAATACCACTATACTGGATCTATCCATAAAGTTATTGCTTCTCAAAACCTTTTCTTTACCAGGAAAGAAAATATCTGTTAGCAAGTACTGTATGCATTATTTCAAAACCCATTAAACAGGATTTCCTCTAACCCTTTTCAGCAACTCTTAACTGAAGTGAGGAGTAAATCTGTGGTCAGCATTTGTGCATGCATACTATAAAACACTATAATTCCATCCAAATAAACACAGTTATAGTTTCTCTTTAAATCTTGTTACCATCTTATCCCCATGCATACAGTTAAGAATACTTCTCTGTCTGCTCACTCTACCTCTCAGAGCTGGTTATAAAGCAAAACATCCATTAAAAACTTTTGGAGACTGGTCAGATCCTCTTCCAATGAAGTCAGATCCTAGCATGTTAATTGTGCCTTTGTATTCATTTCTGAAATCATAATACAGTACTACTTAGGTCACAACAATTCATTCAACTATTTAAAGTTACAACCAGTCCTCAAGAATTCTGATTGTTGCAGTGAGTTGTGGTAAAAGGACTGCAATTTCCAACATTCCCTGATAGCTTTCTACAAGCAAAGTCAATGGGGAAGCCAGTAGGAAATCAGAAGCAGCTCCTGTTGCTCCACTCACTCTATACCACCTGCTAACAGCACCACTCCCCACAACACACATCTGTACTCCCTAGGGCCTGCCCATGGCACTCCCCCACATCCCAAAAGCATCTGTCTAAGGTATTCCCCACTCCCCTGCAGCATCTGCACACCTGCCTATGTTCCAGTGCCACTGCTCACAGAACCCCATCACCTCACCCACCAGCCTGGGACTCTTCCCACTTTTGTGGTCCTGAGCTTACAATAGCAAATGGAACTGAGGAATTGCCATTACTACATAATTCATTCATGTGATATCATGTTTTGCAACTGTCATCACTTACAATGGAAATTTCACTCCCAATTGTCATTGTAACCCATGGCCTACTTTTAACATACACTGAAGTAGTTTTAAGCAGGATTTGTAATTGCATTGTGGTAAAACAAGAAATAACTATTTTTAAGCATGATGCACCATCAATACAGATATAACTCCTCTGGTCTAAATATTTTACAAATATTTTTCAGGCCCCTTGCTAGTGAAACTAACCATTACATTTTTTTCAGTAATTGTGGAACTGAAGAATCACTCATTTTCTCTCAAACTAAGTTTCAGCAGCCATAAATGGCACCTACTGAATTTTCCACATAAAGTTGAGTGATTCAGAAATTTACCATTAAAGAATTGCCAAACTCAGATTTAATTTCCAATCAGAAGCACAAATTTCTGGCTGCTGTATTGTCATGGCCTAGGACCCAGATGAGCACACACTCCAAATTACTGTTTGAGCTCACATTGCAACATTATAGGCAGATGTTATTCATTGCTGTTAGACTTGTTTCCAAATAAGGACTCGTACAATTGCAGTCTTAGCAGCCTATGACCCACTGAATTGTAATAAAATTTTATTTTTAAAAAATAAACTAAGATTGTAAAAGTCTCCCTCAAGGGAACCTTAATTATCTGACTTCAATTAGAAATTAGTTTGAGAATTGGAATTTAACAATATAGCTGACGGGTTCTAGAACTGTCGTATCACATCTGCTTCTTGATGTCTTAGTTAAGTATCTTAGTATACTTATTATCTCTGGTATTTTACTATACTTAGTATCTCTGGTATTTTAAAAAAGTTATAAAAATATTACATGCAATGTTTATAACCATCTGCAAAACTCTTTTCATTCTTTCCCTTTCTTTTGAATCCAACTAACAGAAAAACAATAAAACAGAAAGCTTATACTAGTGAATAAACTGGTGCAACAATTGAAGTTTATCTGGTCAGAAGTCTGAATGGTTTTGTGGTTAAGAAACTAGGATAAATTTATTTCTCCACAGGTTCCTGCTTCCTTTTGAACTATTAGAGACCAATACAACTTCCTGGCAGACTGGCAACTGAAAACTGTTATGGCCTAGGTAATATTTTCCCATGTACTGTATGTCAATCTAAGATAAAGCTATATTTTATGAAAACCAGGAGCTTGTCCCAATCTTTTTGGAATTACCTTTCAAATGACTAACAGAATTGGAAGAAACCTTGGAGATCTTCTAGTTCACTACTGGGCTGTGACCTTTTGACCAGCAGGCCTGTGCATGTGTAGCTCGTCTTGCACAAGCAGTGAGCTAGCGTATTGGCACATATATATGAACATGCAGCTCAATGTGCGCAAGTTGAGCTGCACTGTGCATGCACTCCGCCCTGCCACTTGCACAAGCTGTGCACAGACGCCGGTCCACCATTGGTGCAGTTCCCTCTTCCCCCACCTTGCTGGGCCACCAAGCTGCAAAGGTCAGGGACCACTATTTTAATCCAACTCCTTGATGCTGCAATAGTTTTCAAACTTTTGACTATAATCAAAGTTGAAAGTGACCAGCCACCACAATGTATCCACAAGGTTTTAGTTGTACCTACCAAGACCAATTGAAGAAACTATGTGAAACATAATAAAAGATTTCTGGTGAACATTGAGAATTATAGGCACTACATAACTGATCTCAATTTATAATGTTCAAGCATAAGCCAGGCTTTCCCTGCAGAAATATGAAAAATGTTTAATAGTCTTTCATAACAATGTTGGTTTGATGGTGAAGTTGGTTATAGCCATTTGCTAGACATCTTTCACCACTAATTGGTCATCGATGGTACATATATACAGATAAATGCTGCCATGTGATAATTTACATGATACACATATTACATAGCAAGCTATTTCTTCTTTTTTTTTCACAAATGGTATTGATAAATAGATGTTTTAAAGCATGCCTTTTAATTGGAAAGATATTTTCCTCTCTGTTCTAAATAACCTCTATCCAGTGCTATTATTATGACTTCATTGTGTTATTTATACACATTAGGACCTGGGGATATTTAGCCACGTGACTCTGATATGTTGGTTTTTCCACAAATTCATCTTAGCAACTTCAGAATATGATTCACAAAGCTTTCTGGGAATATAGAGTCCTTCTTAAAGTTGTCAATTTCTATACTTGCCTTCACAAAACTTAACTTTTTCTTCTATGTATAGCAAACCTTTTGCAAGAAGCTGGTTCTGCCAAAAAGAAAAAAAAGGGAAAAAAGGGTTGGATTTTCAATATTCAAAGATACAAATGATGTTTTTACAAATGTTATTTCAAATAGATTTACCCAATCTATTGAATAAGCAATATATCTTAGTTTTAGATCAAGTATGTCAAAACACATATGGCCAATGAAATTTTTACATGCTCTAGATGTAATATCTCAATTCCTAATCAGACTCATTTCTTTTCTGCCCAAAGTTGGATTTCAAGTTGGATTTTATTGCTATTATTGTGCCTTAATCATTTTGTTGAATTTTAATATTATATTTATATTTTACTTTCAGCTCTGGAAAGTCTCAAAGAGCATACATTTCTGGGTTGCCAAATAAATGTGGAAAATACATGTAAAGAAAGGCATTTCTGCATATGATCAGCTAAAAACAGTCTCCATTCTGCAGATGTTCAATCATGTGGCATATCTCAGTTGCAAATACCTTAATGGTCCAATGCCGTAAAAACATTCACTGGTGGAAGAAAACAACTGAATAAATTCTTATGGAATTAGTGCAGAGACTGTTCTCTCTGGATCTGCACTGTATAGAATTTAAAAGGACAACACAAATGCTATAACAGTTTTCCAGTGTGCTAAAAATTAGAACACAACCAAGACTTGCAACAATACATTGCATGAAGGAATGTCCCTATTTGCTATTAGCTATTTAGCTATTTATTTATTTATTTATTTTATTTTATTTTATTCCATTTTATTCTTCTACTGTTTTTCAAGTGATGGCTCCAATCCAATTGTATGTCTGCCTGTACTTTGGAATCTCCCCTTAAGGTAGGGAGTTTCCTAAAAATGTTTTGTACAATTAAAAACTTTGGGACTGTCCCCAGACACAACTCCTTCTTGTATTAATTGTGTTACATAAGAACTGATCCTCACTTCTGAACTTCAAAAAATAGAAGGAATGAGTCAATGTTGACTCTCTATTTTACATCATCAGTGCAAACCACACTTCGCAAAACTTTACTTTCTTTTTTAAAAAAAAGAGGAACACCTCAGATCTTTTGTTTTTTGTATTTTACAAAAGGAAACAAATGAAAAAGCTGTTTAAATAACAATCTTGTTTTCTTGATATTTAATGCAGCAGTTATAATAATCGGTTTAATGGGATGTATGGCCTTGCATGCAATATCATTTAGTTACAGTAAGATTTCTGATCATTAAATGTTTCAATATTTAGTCGTTGTTGAAGAATATGCTGAAAATCCACTTTCACAAAGTTGTGCTGAAGGAAAAAAAAGTCGTACCATCAGGGTTTTTTTTTCACCTCAAAGACCCCTGTGAACTTTCACTGAAATTTGTGGATTTTTTTAAAAGTTATTTTAATATATGCTTATGGCAAGATCTACCAGCATTTCCTTTCATTTTTCACTGGAAACTAAATAGATATAAAACCCATTAACATCTTCAATAGTTAATATTGTTATTCTGCAGAATATGGTTTAAGAATATTCACATAGCTCTACCAAGGAACTGGCAGCCTAAAGTTTTCTGTAGAGAGAAGGTATAAGAGTTGAAGCTAAGCAAATGCAGTCATTGAT